TTGTGCTTTTATTGTTCATCACTTACTTTGTTAAAATAGCTTTTCTCATTATAGTTTGGTAGCTGTGTATTTGGCTTCTCTTAAATAGCTTGGCAAAAATGGTTAGGCTTTCAAACATTGGTTATTCTCTCTTTGATCTATTCTGATTCCAAAAATTCCATTTATTTTTAATTTTAAAGACAATAATAAGGGGATACTGCTTTTTTGTTTCCAGGTTAAATTGGCCTCTGACAATTTTATATTTGATTATAATGGAGATTAGCAATAATTATAAGGGCAACTTTGGTAGTCTTTTTACTTTAGTCAAGTAAAACTATCTTAACTTCAATACTTCTTTTAGTTTAGAATTTGCACTTCAGATCCATATGTTCTGAAGTCTACTGCACTGATTCATATTCTCTCTCTCTCTCTCTTTCTTTGAGACAGAGTATAGCCTATGTTAATCTCAACTCATGATCCACCAGACTCATCCTTGAGTACTGGGATTACCATTGTATTACACCAGGCCCGGCCGATCACTATTAGGTTTTGATTGGCAACCTCTATTAAAAAGCTTATCTTTTATGCATGTGCTAATGTATTACTGTATTGATACTTTGCATATGTTATAAACTTGTGCAAAGAAATTAAAAAGGCTGAGATTGAAGGTAAAGTCTATTTTTAAGTGATTTTAACTTTAACAGTATAAAAAGCCCCTTAGTTGACAAAAAAGCAGTATGATTGAACAAGTGTTGTCATATCTGAAAAATCTTTATTTAACCTTTTCTTTTGTGTGTCCATTAACTTTTCTTAGGAAATGGTGATCTCATTTTAAGTTTGTATAGTTCGTGCGCATGTGGTGTTGGAGATCAAAAAATAAGGTTTTAACTGCTATCATAGCTCACCCTCATAAAGATTCATAGATAGGAAAGGGAAAAGAGTACATGTGTCAGTTTCCTATTGCCGCTGTAACAAATTGCCATAGATTTAGTGGCTTAAAACATTACAAATTGATAGTCATACAGTTTGGGGAGTCAAAGGCCAAAAGCAGGCTCATAGGCAAGACTCGTTCCTTCAGGAGGCTCAGAGGGAAGCATTTCTGTCCTGTGCTTTTCTTCATAGGCCACTTGCATTCTTGATTCATGGCCCTTTCCTCTAACTCTTAGATGCCTTGTCACATCTGTTCACTTTGACCCTCCTGCCTTCTTTTCTTTATAAGGACACTTGTGATTACATTGGGCTCATAATCTGCTATAATGCCTCTATATGAAGCTCCTTGATTTATTCACACCAGTGAAATTAATCCCTTTTGTCACACAAGGGAGTTGGATGTCATCTTTGGAGAAGGGGGCCTTTATTCAGCGTACTACAATACATTGTTACAAAGGTAGAATATTAATTTTTTAAGAACTGTCTCACCAGCCAATTTGGCTTATAAATTTCCATCTAAATTTGTCTGTGCAAAGGTATCAAAAGGAACTATAGTTTTTCTTTTACAGTTGATTTAAAACTCAGAAAAGTTTGTTTTGAAGACCTTTTAAAAATAAAGGTTAGAAAATTGTTTAAATAATTGTTAATTAAATTGTTTAAATTTTTTAAAAGGTGGTACTGGGGTTTGAAGTCAAGGCCTTCCACTTGCTAGGCAGGCACTCTACCACTTGAGCCATGCCCCCAGTTCTTCTACAATTTTTGATATGCAGATGTGAGAATTTTTCTTCTTTTAAAGACTTTTTAAACTTAGAAATCCTATAATGATGGGAATATTTCTAAAATACTGTTTTTCAAAGAGTTCTTTTCACTGAATGAATGTCTTTCAAAAAGCAGTTAGGTGTTACTTTCACATCAGATAGTTGATTATAATTATTTTTAAAATAATAGTTTGCAAACTAGGAATAGCTTCTATAGTCATAGAATAACTAACAGGTTTGAAACATTTGCCTTTTTATGAAAAGAAACTTAAAATTCAGCTTTAATCATTCCTTACAGCTTTATGAAAGTGTTACAGAATATCTACATTTTAAAGGCCTTTTTAAAATACAGCTCACCATAGTTCATCTGATAGCAGGTCATCACAATATGATGCAGAATGCTGAAAGTGAAGGAATGAATGAGATCCTGTCTGCCAATCCCTTAAGTCATGTGGGAGTTCCAGTCTTCCCTCAGGATTCCTTTGTGCATGTCACGCTCTGAAATGTGAGTGACCTGACACACAGCCATGGGAGGTGCTGATGGCAGCACACATATTAAATGTTATTAAAGCATAATTTTAAATAGAAAGTTGAGGTTAAAATTTATAAAGCTTCTAAAGAATTCAAATTGTCTGACTTCTATACCCTTGGGGCATGTATACCCATTTTTGGAGACCACCGTGCTGTACTATGGCTGGCCTTTTTTCCTCCCCTCTGTATTCTAGTCAGCATTCGAAGATGTTCCCACATTCAGTTGTCTTCTTGGTTTCTTCTGACTAAATTTGTCTGTTTTAGAGACAATTGTATGCCTAGCTTTTGTAAATATGTTGAACCTTTCCCCTATATTGAGAGCCTGTGAAAGACAGGAGTTTGTATTTCATCATGTCTCGTTATTTAACTCTCAGCATATAGTAGTTGCTACTAAATATTTGAATGCCTGTAAGAGAATAAATTAACAGCAAATGAGCAATAAATGTTTTTTGTTTGTGGTGTATCAGGCGTTAGATCTTTTTCTATTTTCCAGACATTTTAGTTTTGAGAAGTGATTATTCTAGCTTTACAGGACCTGACCGAATGAAGCTCAGAGAGGTTCTATAACCTGCCCAAAGTGATAGAACTTGGAGTCCAGGTGTCTAAAGAATTATTTTTGTAATCATATGTTCTTCCTCATATGCGGACTTCAGATCTAAAACAAATGCAGTAATATTATTAGACATGGGTCTCACAATAAGGGGAGGACACATATATGAAGAATAGGAAAAGGAAAGTGTTTGATGTGTCTACTGTAGAGGAGCTAATATAGTAACCTTAAAATGACAGCGGTCACTATGAGAAGGTGACCGGGAAGTAGTGAAGAGGTCTGGTAGAGATGAATCAATTCTGGTTGTAATACACATGTGCATGGAAGCGATGCTAGGAATTTTTCTGTATAGCTATCTTTATCTCAACTAGCAAAAGCACTATGTCTTCATTATTGCTTATGTCTTCTCTTCAACAGAATTGGAGGGCAGAATAGGTTCTGCCTGAAGAGAGGGGGGTGGAAGAGGTGGAGGGAGGGGTTGGGGAGGCAGTGGGGAGAAATGACCCAACCAGTGTATGCACATATGAATAAATAAAAAAGAAAAAAAAAAAAGAATTATTTTTGTTTTGATAAGTACTATACATCTTAGTATGAAAAGTAAGGCGGTATAAACAAAGCATTCTCATTCTTACCACTAATCCTATTTATTTTGTCCTTTGTCCTGTAAGTAATCTAATAGTTTCTTGTGATTTTTCCAGTGGTCTGTATGTCAAAACAGTGTGTGTGTATATGTGTGCTGGGGATCAAACCCAGGGCCTTGCACGTGGTAGGCAAGCTCACTATCACTATGCTACTTCCCTGGTCCATCTCCTGTGTATTCTTATTCCTTATTTATTTTATTTTATTTTTTGGTGGTACTGCAGTTTGAACTCAGGGCTTCGTGCTTGCTAGGTAGGTGCTTTACCACGTGAGTCACACCTCCAGCCTACATGTTTTTTTTTTTTTTTAAACAATTTTAAAATAGAGTTTTTTAGAGTGGTTTGAGGTTCACAGCAAAATGGAGCAAATAGTACAGAATTTCCGTGTATTTACTCTATTCTCCTACTTTCCTGCTTCCTGACTACATGCCACACCAAAGTGGTGTTACAAATCATTGAACACACATTATCACTCAAAGTCTATAGCCTAGAGCCACGGTTAGTGTTGCACATCACATGGTTTGGACAGATGTATAATGACATGTATCTACCAGATATGTATCATACAGAGTAGTTTCATCGACCTTAAAATCATCTGTGCTCTGCCTGTTTATTCCTCCTCCTGCCTAATTGTTGGTAGCCATTAACATTTTTAATGTCTCCATAGTTCTGCCTTTTCCACAGTGTCTTGTAGTTGGAACCATAAAGAATGAAGCCTTTTTAGATTGGCCTCTTTCACTTAATGTAATATGTATTTAAGGCTCGTGTGTGTGTGTGTGTGTGTGTGTGTGTGTGTGTCTTGCTGGGGATCAAACTCAAGCCTTGTTGCTTGTTGGACAAGCACTCTACCACTTGAGTAATGCCCCCCAACCCTTTTTTGTTTTGAATTATTTGCTAAGGAGAGACTTTACCACTTGAGCCACTAACCAGCCATTTTCACGTTGGTTATTTTCAAAATAGGGTATTGTTTTATGTCTGACTGACTGGACTGTGAACTTCCTATTTGTGCTTCCTTGCATAGCAAGCACCATGTGCCTAACCATTGGTCGAGATGAAGTCTTGCTAACTTTTTGCCTAGGCTGGCTTAGAACCACTATCCACACAATCTTGATCTCTGCCTCTTGAGTATCTGGGATTCACAGATGTGTCATTGTGTCCCAGCTCATTTTGCCTTTTCTAATGGTTGTACCACCTTGCACTTTGACCAGAAGTCTGGCCTGTTTCCTTATATCCTCCCTAGTAGAGTTGTCATTTGGAGTTTTTCTAGTTTGATAGGAGAGCAGTATCTTGGTGAAATGAGTATCTTTTCATATGTTTAAGGTCATTTGCGTTTCTTTTTCTATTAGGTTTTTGAGATTGTTGAAGTATTAGGAAGGGTAGTTCTTTGTGATATGAGTTGCAAATATGTTTCTCAGTTTATCATTGAGTTTTATCAGGCCATGAGTTTGAATCTATTTTATATGGTTTCATAGTCCATGCTCTTCATATGACTCTGGTCGTATTGCCGCAAATAATACATGTTCCATGTTTCTGACAAGATTTAATTAGGTATAATTGTGATTTAATGGATCTAACTAGTATTTAGAAACTTGTGACAATTTCTTCCCTCAATAGACACGGCATCAGCGAGGAGATACACATCCTCTATCTTTAGAAGAGATTTTGGATGAAACACAGCATTTAGATATTGGACTCAAGCAGAAACAATGGTTAATGACTGAGGTAAGAATGGGCCTAAAAACATTGTGAAGAAATAATTAATTATAAAGAGATGTTTGCTGTAAGTAGGGGTGTGTGTGTGTGTGTGTGTGTGTGTGTGTGTGTGTGTTGCTAGAGATTGAACCAGGGTACTCAAGCAAGCTAGGTAGGTACTCTGCTACTGAGCCATGACCTCAGCCTCTAAAGTGTCCTTAGTAGATTGAAATCTGATAGTGCTTTGTACTTTTTCTTAAAAGAAATGATGTAGGGTCTTTGTCTTTAAACATACACACTTCTAGAAGTTTGACTTGTTGGTTTTCACATTTTATTATTTTAAAAAAATCTTCACCATAAAGTTGTAAAGAAGTCAACGTACCAATTCCACTTTCATTTTTACAGAATAATTGGTATATGTTGAATTGCTAAATTTATGATTTCTGTGCTTGTAAATTGTAATTTTTATGTATGCATGTTTTAAAAAATTGAAAGCGTGAGGTACTGTAGGGATAGCAAGGTGTTGCAGTATTACTAATAGTGTGGTATAGTATGTAAGTTAAGAGGTTACTTAGAAAACAGTCATGAACTTGGTGAACACTTGCGATTTGAAGAAAGTACAGCATAACTAGTGACCATGCTAGTTTGGAAATGAATAGCATTTAAAACCTTTGGATATTTCCTTCTTTTGAGTTTCTATATTAAATGATGACACAGAGGACTACTTTTCAGGACCATTGATAGATTCTAAAGACTGAAGGTGAGATGGGCGTGGTGGTACACTCCTGTCATCCCAGCAGTGGGAAAGCTGAGGCAGGAGGATGACGAGTTCTAGGCCAGCCTGGGCTACATAGCAAGACCCTGTCTCAAAAGCAGAAAGAAGGAAAGAATAAAACTGAATGTGGAAGTCATAAAATAGAATTGAATTATTTTACCAAGCAAAGTATAGTTCTTGATTTCATGATACAAAAATGAACAAGCCAATCGGTCTTATTAAAACTCCTGGTCTTTTAGTGGCTATTTGGCTGAGGCCTGAGCTGAGCTCTCCTAAGATTTTCTTTTCTTTTTTTTTTTTTTTTTTTTTTTGCAGTGTTGGGGTTTGAACTCTACCAGCCCTTTTTTGTGATTTTTTTTTCAAGATAGGGTCTCACAAACTGTTTACCCAGGCTGGCTTTGGACCATGATCCTCCTGATCTCTACTTCCTGAGTAGCTAGGATTGCAAGGTGTAAGCCACTGACGCCCAGCTAACACTTTAAAGTATAAATAGTTAACCCACACAAATGTTGCAAATTGTAATATACATATGTTAGTGATATATAAATACTGGTAATCCACATTTAAATTTGCTGGTTTTCCTAATATTGGAATTTTATAGACTTACCAACATTAAAGATTATTTTTATTCTACTACCCTTTTTTTGTTTTTTGATGGGACGGGGGTTTGAACTCAGGGCTTTGTGCTTGCAAAGCAGTTGGTCTACAGTTTCATCACACCTCCAGTCCATTTTGCTCTGATTGTTTTGGAGATGAAGTCTCAGGAACTGTTTGCCTGGACTGGCCTTGAACGTGATTCTTCCAATCTCAGCCTCCCAAATAGTAGGATTAAAGGCATGAACCACCAGCACCTGACACTACTTTTTTTTTTCTCTTTTTCTTCATTCTGTGCTCCTTCTCTTTTTCCAGGGTTTGGCTGGCACTGCAGAAAGAAGTAAATAGGGCTTCAGTTTCTTAAAGAAATTTCCTTCTGCTATTAACTGTGCAGCAGAACTGACTAGGAACATTATTATGTTCAGTAAATCCTGCATTCCTGTTTCACTCTCACACTGACATTATAGGTAAAGTTCTTACACGCTGGTCCTTCTTACTTCCTTCCACAGCTGCTAGGAGCAGTTGGTAGCAGGTGGGGAGGACTGGCTATTGATTTATTCATCCGGGTAATATTCTCTTGTAATAATGCCAATATATGTAAAACTGTACTTTGGAGGTAGGATGGCCATTATCCAGTTCACTTTGTCTATTAATGATAACAGATGTTTTATTGATTCTTACCCAGTTTGTCTTCTAAAAGAATAGAAGTTCAGCTTTCTTCAAAGCAGTTGCCATAAAATATTTATTTCTCTCAAAAGAAAATATGTGAGTAATTTTTTTGGGTGGGACTGGGGGTTGAAGTTAGGGCCTGCTCTACTGCTGGACCCACACCTCCAACCCTTATGCTTTGGTTATTTTTGAGATAGGGTCTCACCTTTTGCCAAGGCCTGCTTGGACTGTGATCCTATTTTATGCTTCCCAACATAGCTGGAATGACAGGAATGTACTCAACTAGTTCTGTTGAGATGAGGTCTCAGGAACTTCATCCTCTCAAGTAGTTAGAACTACAGTCTTAAACTGCTGTGCCTGACTAAATAACTTCTTTTTTAAACAAAAAGTGAACATCATGCTGAACTTTACTTACTGTTCTGGGATTATGGACATCTAGTTTTCTGCTAGTTCATAAGACATTTTTATTTTGCTGCTGTATTGGGTAGCATTATATTTTTAAATAATTAGAATTTAAGAATATATGTGTGAGATTTCCTTTTGTAATATATCCCATTGTGTCATTATTATAGGCGCTAATCAACAATCCCAAAATTGAAGTAATTGATGGGAAGTATGCCTTCAAGCCCAAATACAATGCAAAAGACAAGAAAACCCTGCTTAGGCTCTTAGATCAGCATGACCAGCGAGGATTAGGAGGGATTCTTTTAGAAGACATAGAAGAAGGATTCCCCAATTCCCAGAAAGCTGTCAAGGTAACCTCTCTTTTCTTTCTGCCTTCCCTATAATTTGAACTAATAATGTCTTGGTTTTAAACATGTAAAAAATTCAGTTATTTTTTAAAGCCTCAAACTATATATATGGGGTTGTAGTGAGCCACTTGAAGATTTGAAATTTGTTTTTTGCCACAGAGAAATAACTTTGACAAGTCACTTTTGTTGTATTTGATCACTTTTTGCTCTTCAGAAGATTTCTGGAAAGTTTTTCTCTTGTAATTTGTGTTTGTAATCAGGAGTTCCTTCTTTCAACAGTAGCAGTAGATATGTCTACATAAGAAACTAGAGACATTAAACAAAAAACCATTGAAACAAACTGTTTTGATGTGCTAAAGGGGCTATCAATAAAAGTCATACTCATACCAATTATTTTTCCAGGTTAAATTTGAAACTTTTTGTAAAGGCTACTCATTTCCATTCTTTTTTTAGCAGTACTGTGGCTTGAACTCAGGGTCTTGCACTTGCTAGGCAGGCACTCTGTCACTTGAGCCATTCCACCAGCCCTTGTTTCCATTCTTGACAATTTTTTTTAATGGTGCGGGATTGAACCTAGGGCCTCGCAGGTGCTAAGTGCATATCTACCATTGAGCTACATGCCCAGCTCCATTCTTTACAATTTTGAATGATTGATTTTAGCTTGTAAGCATGTTCATTCTTTTTGCTACTGCTGAGTAAAACTTGCCTTTCTTTTCTTTGAATCTTGATAATTCAGTTCTACATATGTTAGACCTCTTGGTAATATAACAGAAATCCCCAAAGCTCTGTTTATTTTCTTATTCTATTAATTTATCATCAAGTTCAGTGATATTTCTTCTTCATCTCTGTGTTGGACAGTTTTCCATGACTATAATGAAATAACTGAGGTAATTAGTTCATAAAGAGAAAGGCTTATTCTAGCTCACAGTTTTAGAGGTCTCAGTCCATGACCTGTTGGCCCCATTGCTTTGGGCCTTTGGTAGGCTGTGCACTGTGGCAAGAGCAGATAATGGAGAAAAACCATTTATCTCATGGCCAGGAGGGAAAAGAAGGGACCTAGGTCCCACAGTCCTCTAAGGATCTCCCACCAGGTCTAAGGCTCCTCCATGCCGTGCTGGAGGCCAAGCCTTTAACACATAAGCCTTTGGGAACATTCAAGATCTAGACTACATCACTCAAACTGCAGATACAAACTGTGATTGCTTTTAAAGCCCAGTCAGATGGGTTACTTATTAGAGATTGTACGTTCAGTTTGTGATGCTTCATTTTCCTACAGTTTTTCTTTGCTGTGATTTTTCCATTTTTTTTTATTCATTACAAGTATATTTTCCATATTCTTGAGTATAATTTTTCATAGCTGTTCTAAAATTCTTCTAATTCCAACAGCTGAGTCATCTTGAAGTTGGACTGCATGGACTGTATTCCTCTTAAGTATGGCTTCCTCTTTCCCTCCCTCCTCCCTTGTTCCCTCCTTCCTCTTACCCTTCCCTCCCCCCTTTCCCTACCCTCCCTCCTTTAGTTATTTTTCAGATAGGGTTTCACATTTTTTGGGGCCACCCTGGACCATGATCCTCCTACTTACGCTTTCTGCTTAGCTGGATTACAGTTTGTGTCACTACACCCAGATTTTTTGTTGAGGTGGGGTCTCACTAACTTCTTCCCCCCGCCCCCGCCCAGCCTTGAACTCAATTTCTCCCAATCTCTGCCTCCCAAGTACCTGAAATTACAGGTATGAACTATCGGGACCTGGCCTGCTTTTCTGTTTCTTCATATATCAGATACATTCCTCTTGTGCCTTGGGTATATTGAGAATTATGTATGTAAAGATCTTTTGGAATCTGTTAAATTCCTCCAGAGAGTGTTTTTGTTTTGTCTTATTGCTAGGTGGGCAATTATCTTGGCTAGAATCAAACTTCAAGCTGCCTTCCCTACAGAAGGTAGCATGTAGCACGTAGCATATCTATTCTGTGCTTATTTCGCCTCAGCTCTTTGGCTTGGAGTGTTTCCATTCATGCATAGTTGAGGGCAGCCAGTGATTTGCGCAGAATTTCTACCTTCTGTAACCTACTTTTTTTCTATAGTTTCCCTTTTGCACTTTCCAGTTGTTGTAACTGCCCCACCCTCTGTTTTCTTGTTCTCCAGTCGAGCAACACTGAGGTGCTCTACCACGAGCCACTTCACCAGCCCTGTTTTGGGTGGGTATTTTTGAGATAGGGTCTCGAGAATTATTTCCCTGGGCTGGCTTTGAACCTCAATCCTCTGGATCTCTGCCTCCCAAGTAGATAGGATTACAGGTCAGCACCAGCTTGGTAGTTATATTTTTGACATAGGAACTGCCATACTGTTTTCCTTAGTGGTTGTACCATTTTACAGTCCCCCAGAATGCACAAAGTTTCCAGTTTCTCCATCTTCTTACCACACTTGTTTTCTCTGTTTTTTACCCATCCTAATGGGTGGAAGTAAACAGTCATTGTGGCTTTGATCTGCTTTTCTTTATGATGTTGAGCATCTTCATATGCTCATTGACTACTGTTTATTATTTTTAAAGAAACATTTATTCAAGTCCTGTGCCCAGTTTTTTTTTTTATTTCTCTTATTCATATGTGCATACAATGTTTGAGTCATTTCTCCCCCCTTCCTCCCCACCCCTAACCTTCCCCTCCCACCCCCTTACTTCCGGGCAGAAACTGTTTTGCCCTTATGTCTGATTTTGTTAGAGAGTATAAGCAATAATAGGAAGGACCAAGGGTTTTTTCTAGTTGAGATAAGGATAGCTATACAGGGAGATTCCTCGCATTGCTTTCATGTACATATGTGTTACATTCTAAGTTGATTCTTCTCAAACTGACCTTTTCTCTAGTTCCTGGTCCCCTTCTCCTATTGGCCTCTGTCACTTTAAAGTTTTTGCATTAGTTCCTTTGCATTGAGGACATCAAATGCTATGATGTTTTTTTGGGTTTCTTACCTATCCTCATAACTCCCTCGTGTGCTCTTGCCTTATCATGTGACCAAAGTCTAATCCCCTTGCTGAATTTGCCTTTGATCTAAAGTCTGCATATGAGGGAGAACATACAATTTTTGGTCTTCTGAGCCTGGCTAACCTCGCTCAGGATGATGTTCTCCAGTTCCATCCATTTACTTGCAAATGATAAAATTATTCTTCTTCATGGCTGAGTAGAATTCCATTGTGTATAAATACCACATTTTCTTAATCCAGTAGCGGGGCATCTTGGCTGTTTCCATAACTTGGCAATTGTAAATAGTGCTGCAATAAACATGGGTATGCAAGTACCTCTGGAGTAACCTGTGTCCACATTCCTTTGGGAATATCTCCAAGAGTGGTATTGCTGGATCATATGGCAGATCTATGTTTAGATTTTTAAGAAGCCTCCAAATTTTTTTCCAGAGTGGATGTACTAGTTTTCATTTCCACCAGCAGTGTACAAGCGTTCCTTTTCCCCCACGTCCTCGCCAACACCTGTTGTTGTTGGTGTTTGTAATGATGGCTGTTCTAACAGGTGAGGTGGAATCTTAGTGTTGTTTTCATTTGCCTTTCCTTTATGCTGTGTCCAGTTTTGAATTGGGCTTATTTGGTTATTGAGTTGGAAGAGTTCTTTATATATTATGGATATTAACCTCCTCAGATGCTTGATTTGCGCATATTTTCCCTTTGTAGCTTTTTTTTTTTTGCAGTACTAGAATTTGAACTCAGGTCCTTGTACTTACTACCACTTGAGCTTCACTGCCAGCCTTTTTGCTTTGGTTATTTTTGAGGTACCCAGGGTGGCCTGGATAGTGATTGTCTTATTTATGCTTTCCTGTGTAGCTGGAATGACAGGCATGTACCACTATGCCCAGCTTTTTTTCCATTGAGATGGGGGTCTCACTAACTTTTTGCCTGGGCTGACCTCAAACTGTAATTCTCCCAATCTCTGCCTCCTACATAGCTAGGATTATAGACTTGAGCTACTGCACCTGACCATTTTTGCTTTTCAGTTATTTTTCAGATAGGGTTTTCTGATTTTTGTTTGGGTGGGCCTCAGACTGCTTCGTCCTACTTGTGCCCCCCTCCAGTTGTAAACTACCATGCTTGGCATGCTTGTTAGATGGGGGTCTCACCAATTCTCCTCACTCCTTCAGTCCCCTACCCTGGGTGACCTCCAACTGTGATTCTCCAAATCTCTGTCTCCCAAGGAGCTGGCATTACAGGAGTAAACCACTGTACCCAGCCCTGGTACACAGGTTTTGAGTTAGCTGTAGTTCCATTTGTCTTGTTTTTTATTTTGTTGCTGTACCTTTAGTGACATGTCCAGATCATTGCCAAATCTGATGTAATGAAACTTACCCTTCTCTTTTTTTCTTATTTTGTAATTGAGGTCTCATTTTAAGGTCTTCAATCCATTTAGAGTTAAGTTTTTTTTTTTTTAATATGGTGAAAATAAGGGCTCACCTTTATTTTTTTGTATATGGACATAAGTTCCCCAGCACCAATTTTGGAAGACTGTCCTTTCCTTAGTGAGTGGTCTGGGTACCCTTTTTGAAGATCATTTGACTATGGAGGTAAAGGTTTATTTCTGGGCCCTCTGTTCTGTTCCATTAGTCTGTGTGTCTGTTTCCGTGCCAACACTACAGTGTTTTCATTGTTTAGCCTTGTAATATGTTTTGTTTATTTTGCGGTTCTGGGGATTGAACCCAAGACCTGCTGTATGCTGAGCCTGTGCTCTAACACTTGAACCAAACCCCCTGTAGTATGGAAATCAGGATTTGTGAGATCCTCAACTTTTCCTTTTTTTTTGGAAGATTGGGGTCCCTTGATATTCTATATAAATTTTTGAATTTCTGCAAAAAAAAAAAAAAAGGCAAAAATCTGATATTTCCCTATGCCATAGAAGAAGCTAACATTCCATTGTGGACATAAGGAACCCTCCATGTAGAACTCAGAATCATGAGTGGTTTCTTTCACAATATTTACTATTTTTGCATTTTTCATGCTGACCTTATCATGGTGAAATATTCTATTTTAAAATTCCCTCTATCATTCCTTTGTAATGTGTGCTATGTCTGCTTTGGGTAATGTTGACCCTTCCAGTGCTTGAGCATTGAAGTCTTTTGACTTACTTGTGTGTTCCTTAATTTTCTACAGCAATATATTTAGGACTTTTTCTTCTTCTTTTTTAAAGCAGTATTGGGTTTGAGCTCAGGGCTTTGCACTTGGTGAGAACTGGAGCCATGCCTCTAGTTTCAGTGTTCTAAAATAAATGTAATTTATTTAACATGTAGTTACCATAAATCACTTAGGTTCCACAAACTTAATTTTATTATTTTTAAAATAGATCAAGTCATTTTATGAATAATTTATATAATAAAGGTATGAAAAACATCTTTATTAGAAGTTTTAATAAGACTTTAACAGAATAGGGTGTAGCTCAGTGGTGGAGCACATACTTAGCATGTGCAGAGCATTGGGTTCAATCCCCAGCACTGCTAAAACAATTACATGTAGTTTAACATACTAGACTCTGTATCCAGTAAGTTTTGGCACACACACATGAAAAAGAAGGGAAAATACTATCACATGTCATATTAGTAGAGTTAGATGGTAAAGATTCTTACCAAATATTGTGCGAAGTCTTCCTGTTGAGGACTTAGAGATAACACCTTATTTCTGTTTTGTCCTTAGAAGTGTCTTGTTCACTCAGTGATTTGGAAGTTTGACATTGTCGTCTGTGACATTGTCAGCTCACCCCTGGTTTGCAACTTTATTTCCGTGGTGAATTTCGTCTGATACCAGTCTAGCTTTGTAAAATTCTATCTTACTTTTTGCATTCATTTTCTGATTTGTCTAAGAATAGTAAAATGGCTTTTGTCAATTTTCTTGTCTTTGCTCTGAAGGGTAGAAAATCCAAACTTCTCTGCTGTTAAGTATGCACAATTAAAAGTAAAAGACAGCCAAGCCCCCTTTAGTCTTTTATGGCTTTTTGAAAGATGATGCAGCATGTGGGGCAATGCAATAAGAAAACTAAAGTCTGGCTATTTATTTTGCTGTTGCTTCCCATTGCTAGCTGATTTAGGCATTCTTCCATTTTCATTACTATTTTAGCTTTTGAAAAGCATAATTGGAAATAATTGATGAACATAAATATAGACGAAAAGTAAGAATTACGCCATTTCATTAGGTTAATGAAAGGGTCCACTGGACCCAAATAGTAGTTGAATTCTTTTTTTTAAAGTATATTTTCTTTTTGGTCTTTGGAGGACCTCAAAGAATAAAAGTCTTAAAATATCAATACTTAAAAATTCAAGAAAGAATCTCAAAAACTAAAACTGGGTCCTTGGACCCAAATGGTACACTAATGGTTAAAAGAAAGGAGTCCTTTGTTTACAAAAATTGTTTTGTGTGTGAGGTAATTTGGAGTTAAATCAAAAATCTTTCTTTATCTTTAAGGCTTTAGGGGACCAGATACTTTGTGTAAATCGCCCTGATAAGAAGAAAATACTTTTTTTCAATGATAAGAGCTGTCAGTTTTCTGTGGATGAAGGTGAGCCTTTCTGTATACTTTCTTTAGTTTGCAAGTATATTACAATTTTAGGGTGATAACATTTATATTTATGATGGAGTTATAATTTAAATGCTGTGCTTTTTTAGCATTATGTACTCTTAGAACACAGCAGTTGATCCCTGTGTCTAATATGTTTCATTTTGTTGTTGTTTTTTGAGTGAGGATCTCAGTATGTAGCTTAGGCTGGCCTTGCACTCATGATCCTCCTGCCTCAGATTCCTCAGTGCTGGTACTGTACGTGTACAAAACCATACCTGGCATAATATGTTGTTTCTTACAATAAAGTTTGAAATAAGTGATTCGAAAGATTGTAGGTTAACTATAATCTTTATAAAGATTGTAGGTTAACTGCTATACTGCAATCACAGTATAGCAGTTCATAATTTTTGTTTATGATCCAGTTGAACCAAATGGGGTTATTTCTTTATGTCTGTAATTTTACAAATGTAACTTCATATCCTGATATGAGAGGTTGATGCAGAATAAGAAAAAGACCAAACTTTTGTCTGTGACTGGCATTTTCTTATCTTGTGGATCTTTCAGTTATCAAATTTGTTAAGATAATTTTTTTCTTTTATTGCAGCACACTAAATTATATTAATCTCCTTCAAAACATGTGATAGTTCAAAATGTTACATTTTGAATTTAACTTTTAAATATTTCTTTTGTATCCACCCTGTAAAATATAAGTAAACAAGGGCTTAGTGATGAGAAATTTCTTTGCTTATTCAAGTTAAAATTTCCTATTTGTATTACTTTTGAAGTTTTATAAAATGGCAAGACTTGAACATCAATTTAATTCTAAAATTTCAAAATACTACAAAACCATAGAAAAATATCCTAACTGTGGAAATATGGATAGTAAAATAGTAACATTAGACTCCATATAGTGAGACTCTTGCTCTGGCATGTATAGTAGTCTCTTCTTAAAATTAAGTAATAGTCTGTCGAGTCAGTTACTTTGTGTAAGAAATGCATTTACAAGTCTTGTCCCTTTAGCAGTCTTTTGTACTGTATGGCTGTAGATATTGCAGAATATACTAGGTCCTCAGAGCTGCTGTTTCTGATAAATTAAACTTTTTCTGTGAACAAGCAAGTGGTGAGCTGCTTGTGTGCATTGCAGTGAGAGGAGATCGAAGTGCTGGAGGCTGCTGAGCAGTCTTATGTCTCTTTTAGTCTTCTTTACTTGAACTTACACTTTCATGTTAACATTTTTAGAATTGTCAAATTAATTTCTTGCCTTTAAAAACATTCAAGTTTTTTCTAAGTTAAAAAACAAACCAAAGCTGTGAGTCAGTGGCTCACGTTTGTAATCTTAGCTACTCAGGAGGATGTGGTTCCCAGCCAACCAGCACAAATAGTTCTCAAGACTATCATGAGGATACCCAGCAGGAAACAGGGCTGGTGGTGTGGCTCAAGTGGTAGAGTGCCTGCTTAGCAAGTGTGAGGCCCTGAGTTCAAACCCCAGTGTTGCCAAAAACAAAACAAAACTCCTAAGAAAGGCATAGTTAAACAAATAGTGTCAGAAAATATTAAGTATCACATGTTCAAAGAAAAAGCAAATGTGCGTTTCTTTTTTCTAGTCCCAGTCCTTTCGTTTGTGGCAGCTATTTAATTTCATTTTGGATTCTGGTGTTTTTTTCTATATTGCTAAATAATATGCTGATTCCAACTTGGTTCTATGCTTGACTTTTCAACTTTAGACAATGTCTAATGACATCCTCATCTCTCGTCCAACATCTGGTTCTCTTTTCCAGTATAAATAACACCACTCATTTATAATTTGTTTATTTAAATTTTATTTTATTGTTTTTACATTTACTTATATGTGTATATATTATTCGCTCCCTCCCCTGCCAAAATACCACTCATTTTAGTTTCTTCATCATTTATCCCGGTACCTTCAACATAAATATTGTCAATGGAAATTTTTAGTATTAAGTCTGCTCTGCAGATGGCAGTGTAGTGTAGTGAATCTGTTCTCTAAGGCGATGTTTCAGTTGAGACTATGCAAGACCGCTGTGTAAGAGGGCAGCACAAAACTCTAGGAGTTCTTGGTAGTATTTCATTAGAGATATTTGAATCACTTTGTGCTTAGCAGTTTTCTTTCTCCTGTGTGCTCTTCCTGTGAATATCATTGTTTAACTTCGCTTAGCTTCCCGTTTGTATTTTATTTATACTTCTGTTCCTCAACATTTTCATTTTCAGTTGCCATTTTATATGACATTTGTTTCTCTTAACTTCCCATTTCCTTACTGCTTGACTAATAGGATAAAATGAGAACTTTTACCCCTGATTTAAAGAGTAATCACGTGTACTTGTTAGTACAATCTCACCTATCCAAGAATAAATTTTGTAAATAGTTTGATGTTTATTCTGCTAACTTACTTTCTCTGCCTCATGGGTATTCTGTAATAATGTGTGGCTCTGAGTAGTCCATTTTATGGACCTGATGATAGATTTTTAAATATGTAACAATGCTGCAGCAAAATGCTTATACATCTTACACATTGGATATACATGTTAATATTTTTATATTAATGAATATAACTATAAACCAGGAAGATATTGGAGAGGGAGATTGATAAAATAGTTTTGCCTCTTTTAAGATTGTTGTTGCTTGTTTACTATATTGTGAAGTATTTTCCAGGGTTTCTTTTCTTTTTGTTTGTTTGCTTTCAGTGGTACTGGGGTTTTGCTCTACTACATGAGCCACTCTTCCAGTCCTTTCTGCATTAGTTATTTTTGAGATAGCATTTTGCTTTATGCCTGGATTGGCCTGCACTGTGATCCTCCTATTTGTGCTTTGCTGTGTAGCTGGGATGACAAGCATGTGCTCCTGTGTCCAACCATTGCCCCAGCTGGCCTTGAATCATGATCTCTCACTCCTTAGTAGCTAGGATTATGGATTGAGCCAGTGTGCCTGGCCTCCTAAATTTCTTTTCTTTTTTTTTGTCTGGTGGTACTGGGGTTTGATTTCAGGGCATTTCTTACTAGGTAGACACTCTACTGATTGAGCCACATCCCAGCCCTTTCCTAGATTTACTAATACTGAACCATACTTAGCACTTCTAGAATAGCCTTTCCTTGGTGTTATATATTTCTGGATTTTTTTGTAGTAACGTAGTTCTGATTTTTGCTTCATTGTGGTCAGTTCGTGTGTGTGTGTGTGTGTGTGTGTGTGTGTGTGTGTGTGCACGCGCTTTGTCAGGTTTCAGTTGTGGATATTGTGCTGGATCCATAAAAAGAAAAGTGTAGTTTTTCTTTCCTACCTTTTCCCCTTTTTCTACTTCCTTAAAGATGTGAAAGTGTACACTGATTTTTTTTTTTTTTTTGTAGTACTGAGGTTTGAACTCAGGGTCTCTCACTTGATAGGCAAATGCTGTACCACTTACTTTGAGCCAAGCATCTAGTTCAGTTTTGCTTTAGCCATTTTTTCAGGCAGGGTCTCACAGTTTTGCCCACAGTCAGCTTTAGACTTTGACCCTCCTACCTATTCCTCCTGTGCTGTTAACTACAGATGTGCATCATTACACCTGGTTTATTGATTAAGATGAGGTCTCACTAACTGTTTGCCTGGACTGGCCTTGAACCACCATCCTTCTGATCTCCGCCTCCCAAGTGACTAGGATTATAGGCATGGCCCATCACACTCAGCAGTGGTAAACATCCTTTATGTTTTCTTTAACTGTGTCTTTATGTAAGTTTTCTATCTTGTGAGTCAGTTTTGATAAATTGTATTTTCTTACAAAATCATCCATTTAAACATTTCACATTTAGTAGCATACAGTTTTGCAGCACATGTTCCTACAACTTTTTAAACTTTCTGTCATTTTCCCTTTTTATCGCTGACTTTTTTGTACTTGGGCTCTTTGTTAATCTATTGCTTTATTTTATTGTGTTTTTATTTTAGCAGAAAATACAACCTTTTAGATTATTGTCTACACACTGAGATTTTTTTTGTTTTGTTTTGTTTTTTCTTTTCTTTTCTTTGTGGCCCTAGGGCTTGAACTCAGGGCCTACACCTTGAGCCACTCCACTTTTTTGTGATGGGTTTTTCAAGATAGGGTCTCCTGAACTATATGCCTGGGCTGGCTTCCAACCACAATCCTCCTGTTCCCTGCCTCCTGAGTAGCTAGGATTACAGGTACGAGCCACTGGAGCCTACACACACTGAGTTTTTAATTACTGAGGCGAGGTGCGGGGGGTGGGGAGGGGAAGAGGGAAGTTGACACACTTTAACATTTGTCTCTTTTCTTTCATGTTTTGCTTCTCAACACATTCCTTGATTGTATTGTGGACGATGTTTGTGGCAGTCTCAGCCATAGGGAGGAAATCATGAGCAGACAAGCTTTCAGGCATCCTAAAAAATCACCCTGGGTTCTATCTGTGATGGCAGAACTTTGTGGACTATAAAAATATCAATGGTGCCGGTGGTTTGGAGGGAGGAAGGGAGAGATGAATAGGTGGAACACAGATTTTTAGGGCAGTGAAATCGTTTTGTAATGGTCAAACTCCATAGAATTTTTAATAAAAAAAGCACATACCCTAAAATGATAAATAGCTCAAGTCAGGAGAAAGTTTAATAATTTTCTTAATCAGACTAGTGAACACAGAATAGTTGGGTTTAGACATGCATGTTATTTCACAAAGGTATTAATTTTCTTAAATCAGGAGTATTTTACTCATGTAGAGGAAGTATAAATGCAGTGTGGTCAAGAGAACAGTCTAAGGAGTCAAATTGTAGGTTTTATCTCAGCTCTGCTCCTTCTTAGCTTAGGCAAGATAGTTTCCTTCCCTCTGAGAGACATCATTTGTAAAATGACAGCAGTAGTAGCTCTACCTCTTAATGACTTTATGAGGATTAATTGAATCAATATAAATAAAAGTGCTAGAATTTATGACAGAACCTGGCACCATAGTAAGAACATGTGGTACTAGGAATTAAACCAGGGCCTCACTCATGCTAGGCAAGCCCT